TACTTCGATTGATAGGATGAGAAAAATCAATTGTACGGGTGTGAAGAACATGGAAAGGACGATGACAAAAACATAATGCGAAACACCCCAGCCATCAGCTGAACTCCATCTTTCCTCCATCCCTCCTCCATCTCTCGTCCATCTCTCCTCCATCTTTCCTCCATCCCTTCATCCCTCCTCCATCTCTCCTCCATCTCTCCTCCATTTGATCCCTCCTCCATCTCTCGTCCATCTTTCCTCCATCTTTCCTCCATCCCTCCTCCATCTCTCCTCCATCTTTCCTCCATCTCTCCTCCATCTCTCCTCCATCTTTCCTCCATCTTTCCTCCCATCTCTCCTCCATCTCTCCTCCATCTCTTCTCCATCTCTTCTCCATCCCTCCTCCATCTCTCCTCCATCTCTCCTCCATCTCTTCTCCATTTCTCCTCCATTTTTCCTACATCTCTCGTCCATCATTCCTCCATCTCTCCATCATCTCTCGTCCATTTCTCCTACATCTGTAGTACACTTCTCCTCCATCTTTCCTACTATACACCCATCTCTCCTCCATCTCTCCTCCATCTCTCGTCCATCTCTCCTCCATCCCTCCTCCATCTCTCCTCCATCTTTCCTCCATCCCTCCTCCATCCGTCCTCCATTTCTCCTACATCTCTCCTCCATCTCTCCTCCATCTTCCTCCATCTCTCCTCCATTTCGCCTACATCTCTAGTCCATCTCTCCTCCATCTTTTGTTCGTCTTTCCTACTATTGTCTCCAATCTCTCCTCCATTCCTCCTCCATTTCTCCTCCATCTCTCCTCCATCTTTCCTCCATCTCATGTCCATCTCTCCTCCATTTCTCCTCCATCTCTCGTCCATCTCTCCTCCATCTCTCCTCCATGCCTCCTCTATCTCTCGAAGAGAACGATAGAGTACAGGGTGTACATGTGGAGCGGGGCTGATATTCTGGCTGGGTGCCAGTCATCATGTCGGGCCGCAAGTATAAAGCCAGCCTTGTCAAGCGCCATTTTGATGTCCTTGGCCCCGCGGGTAAGGATCCTTCGAAGGGGGGAAAGTGGTGGCTCTACCATTACTGCGATCAAAATTTTTTTGGCAATCTCAATTGCCTGAAGGAATATTTCACGAAGAGGATTTGCGCAGTTGAGAAATCAACAAAAACATTGACCGCAGAGGAAATATTGAGAAAGAAGGAAGGATTGCGGCAGGCAAGGATAGACTCGGGCATGCCGAGGGATTGTGCCAATGCCCTACCTACTGTCAGCAGTTTGGTGGCTGCTTCTATGGGCGGGGGTTTGGTCAAAGAGGTGGGCTACGCTTGTGGCGAAGCGGCGAGCGACGCTTGTGACGAAGGGGTGGGCGGCAGCGGGCCAAGTGTCACGGCGCATCGCACAGGTGCATCTGCTGCACCTGCTGCACGGATGCGATAGATGGTGTTGGAGGAGACCGACAGCGTCGTCACAAAGAATGAGCAGACGTCAAGAAGAGTAGACTGCTGGATGGCGTGCACGAACCAACCATTCAACATGGTTGAGAACGAGTTCTTCAACGACATGGTGAACGCCATACAATAGGCCCACCCATCATGGAGACTGCACTCGAGAGAGGCGGCGCGTAATGGTCGATTGAACGGACAACACCAGAGGGCGATCGAGGACGTGGGGAGGTTGGCGAAGAAGTGGGCTCGCACAAGCTGTATGGTGCAAGTAGATGGGTGGTCTGACCGACGGGGAAGACCACACGTAAACGTCATGGTGTCCTCTCCCATCGGCACCGTCTTTTGGAAGTCGGTGTGCGTAGCGGGAAAGGACAAAGACGCCAGTGCGTACTACAGAATACTCACCGCTGCGATTGAGGAGATTGGCCCAAGATGCGTGGTTGGGGTGATCATGGATAATGCCCGAGTTTGTGTGAAGGCCGGGAAGTTGGTGGAGAAAAAATACCCGTGGATATTCCGGGTGGGTTGCGCGGCGCATGCCCTTGACCTCGCATTGGAGGACATGGACAAGCGCATTCCGTGGTTTGCGGAGACTGTGAAGAGGGGGAATGTGTTGGGGAAGTTCGTGATGAACCACGACAAGGTTCGAGCACTCTTCTTGACCAAATCGGGTGGTGTGCAGATTAAGAGGCCGGGCGTCACTCGATTCGCGACCAACATCATCATGTTACAGTCGCTGTGGGACAGGAGAAACGCCCTGAAATTGACTGTGGCTGCCAGCGGGTGGGTCTCCTCCATAGTGCCGCCCCACTTGCGTTCCCAATTCGAGGAGGTGACGGCGACTATCTTGGATGGCGGCTTTTGGGAGCGGGTGGACAAGGCCTTGAGGACCACGGACCCCATCGTAACGCTATTGAAGCTCGTCGATGGTCCAGACGCAACAATCGCCAAGGTTTATCATCGAATGGATGGTGTGGTGGAGTCAGATTCGCGAGCTGGACATCTTGACAGACTTTGAGAAGGCAGAGGTCGAGTCGATCCTCATGGATCGATGGGCGTTCATGACTTCAGAGTTGCACTGTGCAGCAGCCTTCTTGGACCCGGAGTACAGATCGCAGGGCTCCTTCAAAGACACCGGGATCCGAGCCGGGTTCAACATCTGGTTGTACACCCGGTGCACGGATGAGATGTTCAATGATGGGAGCTGGCAGGTTGACGAGTGGGTGAATTTGAGGGGGGCCTTGCAATCAGAGGAAGCTTTGCGTGCAACACGCACCAAGACCCCGACGATGTGGTGGGAAGCGTTTGGCTCGCGGCTGCATCTTTTGCAGCCCCAAGCGATCAGACTGTTGGGCCAGGCAAGCTCATCCGCGGCATGCGAACGCAACTGGAGCCTGCATGAGCTCGTTTTTGGCAGGAGGAGGACGAAGCTAATGCCCACCCGCCTATCAAAGCTCGTCTACAACAATTGGAACCTCCACCTGCAATGGAGGCAAGAGCACGGTCGTGGTGAGGATGATGTCCACATTCCGTGGGTGAAGGAAATGCCAGAAGCCGAGTTGAAGGAGGAGGCAGAGCAATTTTACAGTGATTGAATGAAACGGGTGAAGAACAGCACGCCGAGTGGCGGGAATGATACATCAGACAAGGAAGACGAGTCGGAGGACGACGACGATGGTGAGGAAATGCCTATGGCAAGGAGGTGGTTGCGCAATGACGAGGTGGACAATGCAATGGACCAGGCGGAGGGCCTTGCGCACATAGATAAGTACACGAACGACTGACACTTCAACACTTGACCGTGGAGGCAGCTGGAGCGAGCCTTGCGAAGGTTGTCGGGCCACCAGCGCCCAACACTTGAAGTGCGGTATAACAAGGAGGACCGGGAGCTTGCACTGCGGGCTCGACAGACGGGCAATTGGGTGGAGGGTCGGAGGCAGCAGGCAACGTAAAGTGCCACGCGATGATGAGGATCGTCGTGACGGTAAACGTGCTGCGGAGGAGGACATTGCACCTCCCGAGAAATAAAGGAGAGGGCGGCCGACCAACAAAGAGGTCGCAGCAAGAAAAGCAGCAATGCGAGCTGAGAAGAAAAAGGCAGCGTTGGAAGCATCGAGAAAAAAGAAAACTGCTGGAAAGAAAAAAGCAGCAGCAAAAACAAGAAAGAGGGACAACATCATCGACGATGACGGCACAGAAGCATGTTCATCGTCTTCAACTTCATCAGAGGAAGGGGATGATGAAGATCATGATGCCAACACAAAGGGAGGAGGAAGAGGAAGGGGAGGGGGAAGAGGAAGGGGAGGAGAAAGAGGAAGGGGTCGCAAAGGAAGAGGGTGAGACTTCTGCACGGGGAGGTGCAGAGGATTAGGAAATTTAGGCGGAGTTGATGCCGCTGGGTGAGACTTCTGCACTGGGAGGTGCAGAGGATTAGGAAATTTAGGCGGAGTTGATGCCGCTGACAGCAAAGTTTGCAGTTTCGCGGTTTATCTTTCGATGTTCGGTTGAACTTAGAACAAAGTAAGAACTGTGAACTACAACTTCTAGAAAAACGATGTTGCTTTACAAAGATGCTAAATTTCAACAACGCTGGATCTCTGGGATGAAATCATTGAATCCTAAATTTTCGGAACAGATTGACTTGATATTGCAATCAAAACAAAAACTCAGAGAATGATATAGTCCATTTTTGATTTAAATTCAAAATGACCCTGGTAGTCCATGCCGTAAACGATGAGTGTTGGTCCTTGGTCTACGCCCGGTGGTTTTTGGGGGCGATTCGATGAGGGACCTAGCTAACGCGTTAAACACTCCGCCTGGGGAGTACGGTCGCAAGGCYGAAACTCAAAGGAATTGACGGGGGCCYGCACAAGCGGTGGAGCATGTGGTTTAATTCGATACAACGCGCAAAACCTTACCAGCCCTTGACATATGAAAGAAACTCCTCGTAAGAGGTGTACTTTGACTTCATACAAAGTTGTAGTTCATCTTCTCATCATCAGTAAAGTAACTCAAGTTAAGTCTTTGAGTTGAACAAAGTAAGAACTGTGAACTACAACTTCTAGAAGTTGTAGTTCATCTTCTCATCATCAGTTAAGTAACTCAAGTTAAGTATTTGAGTTGGCATTTTGTCCATTCCTCCCGTGTTGCAGTGTGCGTGCGTGGTTTTCTGTCATTTGCCCAATTGCAGTGTGCTGTTTT